AGCACGAATCCAGACTCTCCTTTGGAAAAGATTGGCTGGGAAACGATAGAACGAGCACGTTTCATGCAAAGACCTGTGGCTGCAACCTGGAGCAAAGCAACAAACCATTGCGTAGCTAACTAGTAGCGCTAGCTTTAGCTAGCTTTAGCTAACGTTAGCTAACGAAACGAACTGCCGAGTAAAATTGGAAAACATTGGTAATTAATAGAGTGGCGAAGTCCCTCCCCTTCCGGGGGAGCTCCATGGGACCTTATTTCGGAAAAATTATGTATTTAAGTCAATGGAGAGAGAAAGATTATCTTTCGATCCCATTTGAATTGTGCCACGAATTACACATATGATGTTTGTCAATTTAAAAGATAATTTTGCAAGTCAAAAAAATAAAAATGTGTCGTAAAACTGTGAAGTAACAAAAATGTTTGTGTGAAACACTCAATGAACTACATCTCTGGTCTCGCAGTCTTTCTAGTTGCATATTTTTCATAGTCTTATATTTCAACAGTTTTACGACAAACTGTGACTTTTTTGACATGGAAATTATTTGTTTAAGATTGACAAATATCATATTTGTAATTCATGGCACAATTCAAACGGGATCGAAAGATAAGTTTTCTCTCTTCATTGACTTCAATACATAATTTTTCCGAAATAAGATCCCATGGACCGGAAGTAAATGGGCGTGACTTTGCCACTCTATTATTCTATAATTTGTAAAACTATGGTGTTAAAAACGACAATTTCAAAAATGCAGATTGTAATTGTCAGATATAGATATACAGATACTAAAGATACTAAAGATACTACAGATACTAAAGATAGGCAGGTACTTGCTTTCAAGCAGAACAAGGGGGAAAACAAACTTAGCAGGAGTGTTTACGTGTTCGGTGTAATGACATACAACAGCCTCGACAACTTTTGTAGTCCTATTCAGCCACAAAACGTGATCTATCTCTTCAATTTGTGTCAACCACAGACCTTATTTCGAGCTATTTTCCAAAACCCTATGGAGAAAATGCAATGCTTTTTGACGAAGGAACTGGAAGTGGTAAAAATGCTAACTTACTTCCGGGTTTTAGGACTGTGGTTCTCTATTGCTTTCCGTTATGGATGGGTTATATTCATTGTAATCAATCAAAAAAGGGATTAAAACTTTTTTTTTTTTTTTTAAATGAAGGTTATATGTCATGCAATAAGAAAAACTGATTTTAATGTTTGTGTCTTTCAGAAACATAAATCGCAATATAAGATTAACATTATTATGTGATCATGGTACGCAACATAGCATAAATGAATTATAAATCAGTTTCCCATGAACCCCTCTCTTTAGTTGTTAAAATATGAAAAATGTAAACACAGTTTTCCTTTGTTTACATTTAAATAACATCAAATGTACTTAATAATAATATTTGACCTTATTCACCGTCTGTTTTCCATCATCTCGTCCTAAGAAGACTTCCTCTCCAGATGTGAACATGTGTACAGTCTGATGCTGTGTCCTGTTCCCCAGGTAAGAAGGCATTCATGTTTCGTGTTGGGGATCTGAGGGAGGGTGTGGTTGTTTACCATCACTCCGACAGTGACACCACCCACGACCACATCGTCTTCCGCATCAGCGACGGCCATCACAACATCCGCCACAAGTTCCCCATCAACATTCTGCCCAAAGACGACTCCCCGCCCTTTCTCATCAACAACGTGGCAGTGGAGGTGCAGGAAGGTGGTGCCGTGAGGCTGGAGCAGTTGATGCTGTTGGCTTCTGACCTGGACTCCAGCGACGACTACATTCTGTACCAGGTGACCTCCAGCCCTCGGGCGGGGCAGCTGCTTAGGAAGACCTCCACCCAGGAGACAGGTGAGGGATGTAAAATACACTCTACTTCATACACTTTGATATAAGAGTTGGTTTTTATTCTGTTTTTAAGCTCAAAGTGGTTACTGTGGTTAGAAATTAAGCCTAACCAGGCGTTTTTTTTTCTCCCATTCCTTGTTAAAGACATTTCTTCAGCAACAAAAACTGATTTTGACCTTAGAGTGAACCTCTATGAAGTCATGGTTTCTCTCTTTATTTAGTTAGCTGTTGAATTGTTTTTGTTTTCTTTCCCAGTCTGGTGTATGGGGTCCCTTTCATGTTTTACAGCTTTGTGCACCTACAAGTGAAAATTAAATAAATACAAAAAACACAAACATCAATGAATCAGTAAAAAATATCAATTTTCGCCAAAAGAAAATGCTTCCCTAGTCGTACTACCTCATAAAACAAACATCCCATAGTCAGATCACTTCACTTTCAAATACTGTATATTAACAGCCCTAGGTTTCAATACATGTAAATACACTGATCTCAGCAGTTTCTCTCAGCAGTGGTAAAACCTTTACAATGTTAAAGTTAAAGTTGATGCTCGTCATCTGGTGATGTACATATTAGATCCGTTTAGCTTTCCATGCAGGAGATCCAGTGGAGAGTTTCCTGCAGAGAGGTCTGATCCAGGGTCAGATCTACTACCAGCACTCAGGAGAGGAACAGTTCGAGGACTCCTTCGACTTCACGCTGTCTGACAGCCACCAGCCGCCCTACCTCTCCCAGACATATGTGAGTCAGAGTACTTATGACGTGTTTGATTCAAATAAACACTAACGATAGACTTTTCTGTCATCAGAATAAAAAGGTTTTCTGTCACATTGACCCCTTTCCCCTCTGTGGATCCAGACGGTGGTGGTCCATGTTTTCCCGGTGAAGAACCAGCTGCCGGTGGAGGTCTCCGGCAGCATTCGCTCCCTGACGGTTAGGGAGACGGAGGTGGTTCATGTCACTCAGGCTCACCTCCACTTCACCGACCGGGAGCATCCAGACACAGACCTGAGCTACGTCATCACACAGCCCTGCATCAACCCGCTGCATCCTGGGTAAGGACAGGATGGGACTCCTCTGCTATCCTCAGCTCCATGACATCTTTAGCCTAGCTTAGCAAAAAGACAGCTTACCTGAAATGTAAATGTCAAACTCCTTCAAAAACATCTGATTAACTATTTTATTCTGGAGAATAAACACATTGATATTGAATGAAACAGTTTTTTACTTATCTTTTATTTTCAGGCTGATGGATACGGGACGTCTGTTCTACACAGACATAACCAACAGCATGAAGAAAGACCACATGGTGCCGGTGTTAAAGTCCTTCACACAGGTATGAAAATATATAAAAATACATTAACTATATACTATATTATATAACCAGCACCATCCTACCATTTGAAAGAAGTCTAATGACGTTTATAATAGGATTCTAAAGAGATGTGATATTAACTAAACAATTATTGGATAACTAACAAAACGTTGGGTTAAGTATTGTAACCCTTGTTATATTAGCACAGGCGGAGCCCTCTAATGGACTCTATGGGTACTACCCTCTATGCAAGCATTCACCTAATGAGATATCTATAGACGTAGCCGGCCCCGGGGCGGGCCGACCTGAATGCGCGCGCATCTCACCGTATAAAAGGAGGCCTCGCCTCCTGACTATCATCCTACACCTCTCTTCAGCGAGCGATATAGGACAGACAGTGCCCTGAGTAGAGGGCTCCGCCTGTGCTAATATAACAAGGGTTACAATACGTAACCCAACGTTATATCTCTCACAGGCTCCGCCCTCTACTGGACTCTATGGGTACAGTGGGTGGAGCCCCGATGTATACGCGCACTGTCGTCCAACAACAACATTCCACCCTACTGCCCCTGACCGGCTTTTCTGGTCAACAGCTGCTGCCCCACATTCTCCTTTAACCCAGTTGTGACCGAGGAGAAATCTGGGCTGTGGCTGACAGAGCACACCCTGCTGCGCTTACCTCGCAGAAAGTGTGCTAAAAAAACAGTGACCATGCCCCACACTCAGACACCGACCCCGTGCAGAGTGTGTGTGGACTAAAGTGTGGAGGGCTACCCCCCTCCTGAGAGCAGCCCTCGCGCCCCTCGCCCATCCCGGGACCCTCAGAGGGCCCGGGAAAAGCATCACGTCCGGGGAGGGGGTCAGATACCAACTGACCCACAACCCCCCCCCCCTACAAATCCTGTGTTGCCCCAGCAAGCACAGACGGGGAGAAAGAGCCAGACAGGTCCAAGAGATAAAACCTTATGAAGGGGCCTGGCATCGACCAAGACGCCGCTGTGCATATATCCTCCACACCGTTGAATAAGGCTGTTGACACAGCTACAGCCCGTGTGGAGTCCGCACGAATCCCAGGCTCTCCCTGCCTGTCCGTAGGCATGTGCAATGCACTCGCAGAGCCAGCCTGCCAGGCGTTTCTGGGACAGCGCTTTCCCGATCACCCCGCCCCCGAAGCACACGAACAGCTGTTCGGTGCGTCTAAGGGCAGCCGTGCGCTCCACATAACATGCTAGTGCACACACAGGGCAGAGGAGGTGAAGTTTAGCTTCCCTGTCCCCACCATGGGGGGGAAGACTAAAACCCCCTAACTGAATAGCCCTCGACCTGAACGCACTCCTTAGGTTTTTGGGCACAAAGGAGGGGTTCGGTCTGAGTGTCGCGCCACTCCGGTCACCCCCGAATCAGTAAACAACTCGGGTGCACCGACAGAGCAGTTAACTCGGACGTTAAGGCAAGAAGCAAAGCTGTTTTCCACGACAATGCTTTCACCATGTGAGCAGCCGCCATGAGACCCAGAGTCTGCATGACAGTAAAAGCTGTCACTGTTGCCCCCTGTCGCAGCCTGTGCACCCCGCGAAGAAGGGACGCACGTCTGCTCTCTGACAGGGTGGCGCGCAACGCGCCCGCATCGAGCACCACACCCAAATACAACGCCCGTTGGTGAGGTATGGGGGTGCTCTTTTTCCAATTGATCGCAAAGCCCAGTTTGGTCAGGTGTGTGATCAATTGTGCTGTGCAAAACATTGCCTATTCCCGTGATCCAGCCATGACTATGAGGTCGTCTATGTAAAAGAAAACTCTCATGCCGTGTGCGCGCAGCGGTTGAAGCGCTGTGGCCACACATTTGCTGAATGTGCGTAGGGATAGGGAATAGCCGAACGGCAGCCTGTTGTACTCGTAGGCTATCCCCTGGAAGGCAAAACGTAGATACTTTCTGTGCTCTTGAGCAATTCCTACATGAAAGTACGCATCTTTCAGGTTGATGGTGGTGAACCAATCGCCTGGCTGCACAAGCCCCACTAACTGTTTCACAGTTAACATGCAGAATTTCCTGCGGGAAATGTGGCGATTCAGGCCGCGGAGATCTAGAATAGGTCTGAATTCCCCTGTCTTCTTGAGAACCAGGAAGTACATGGAATAAAGACCCTCTTCCCTGCGCTGAGGGTGCACAACAGACACAGCCTGTTTCTGCACAAGAGCCTGAATCTCTGCTGAGAGGAAACCCATCTCCCCCTGAGAAGATAGATTCACCTCTCACATGCCCAATAAAAGGGGGTGGAGCAAATTCCTTAACTGCACATGGCTGGGAAAAATGTCAATATTATATCAATATCCCGACATAGGACTCTAGAGGGGTGCAGGAAGCAGTCCTAAAACCTGGAAATGAGTTAGCATTTTACCACTTCTGGTTCCCTGGTCTTGAAAGTCAA